ACGCGGACGATGAGTACTCCTCGACCTCCTGGGAAGATAATGACAAGGATGAAAAGCTCCTCTCCAGGAGGAGAAGCTCCACAAGAAGTGTGGCTTCACGGTCTGGATTTTATCAGACTCGGCCCAAGACTTCACCCTGCTTGCTGGAGCCCTCACCAGAGAACAGCGGCCCCAGCCCGTCCAGCCCGGACACCAGCAAGCAGAGGAGATCCATGGTGTTATTTAACAACATGAAGAACGAGCTGGAAGCAGCCAGGAGGAAGTTGGCTGCCTTGGTGCATCCTTTGAACAGAGCTGCCTCGGGGAGCAGGGGGATCTCAGTGCCACGGCTGCTCCCACAGTGTCCCAGCACCAGCCGCAGCCTTGAGAATGGGCCAGGCCCAGATGTGTCCGAGCTGGGGACACTGGTGCCAACTCCTCCAGCCACAGCTCCACCGATGCCCCCCATCAAGAGGCATAAGCCCGCGGTGCCGGTGAGCTGTTTCCTTTGGTAGCCCTTTGCTTGGTGCTGAGAGAGAAGGGAGGTGGAGGGCTTCAAATCGGTCCCATTTGCTGTGGGTTGGCCAGCAAAATTGATCCAAAATGGGGCAACACTGAACTCACGAGGAATTGTTGATGAGTTTTCATGAGAACTGAAGGAAAGGGTTTGGGTTTTTTTTCCCTGAGGGTGAAAGAAACTTTCTAGGTGCATGTTTACTTTGTCCCTATTTTCCCCAGCAAGCAGGGCCTAATTTGATTTTCAGTTGAAACACTGAAAAAAAAGTGAAATAAGGTCTTTATTCCCACTTTTCTCTATATTTTCCCCTTCTAAGAGATATAAATGGGGCTTACAGGGAAATGCCCGCTTACAGCCCTCATGGAAACTAGGAAACTTTGGACTTCATAGTCCTACTAGAAACAGAGATCATTTAGTGATACAGTGAAGTGAAATGATGGAGTAAATGCCACTCTGTCACTTTAAATGTGAATTGCACCATGCTTGTTAAGAAATCACATCTCATCCAGCTCCTTGAGAGATTTAATAGATGAGTTGCTGAAAACCCACAATTAAAGCCATTGGACACATGGATGACCAAGTTATTTATATGCAGTTGCATTAGTTGTGGGATAACTAAGGAAAGATTAAATGCCTTGTGTGTATTTGTGCATCACCCGCCCTGAGCACTCTTTGATCCGATCTGTATCTATAGCTGAGCCTGGATTTAATTAAATCCAGTCTCATTTGATGCCCAAGAGGGCTTGTTCCATGTGTGGGAATTTTCCTCTTCTGGAGAGAGCAAGGTAACAGCATTGCTTCAGCCTGGGTTGTTTGACATCATTCCATGAGCTGGAGCAATAAGACCACCTGTTTTTTTTCCTTGCAGTCCCTCAGCCCCTACAGCTGCCTTCCCCCTGCCTGCACACCTGGGAGACCGCTCAGCTCCCTCAGATCCCAGCCAGATTCAGCAGCTGACCTGCTCTCAGCACTGAGCCAAGAGGAGCGAGACCTCATCGAGCCTGTCATAGCGTTGGGCTACCCCACGCACAAAGCCATCCTCACCCTCCAGAAGACAGGAAAGCAGAGCTTAAGTCAGGTTGGTGGAGTTGGCAGGGCACTGTGAGAAGGTTTTGGTAAAGGCAAACTTGATTTTCATGGAGAAAGGGATGGCTGTTTTGCTTGATGTGGGTTTCTGATGGCCTTGGGTTTCTGACTTCGGTGTCAGACTGCAGTTCTCAGGGTTTGCCATGAGATCACACTTTTGCTGTAATAAAATAGCAATGAGACACCCTCAGCTTTTCAGCACATAATCACAGCTGGTTTCGTTATCTGCTCAATCTGTTATGTGGGGCATCATGTCCTTTTGAGGTACAAATTTTGCCCCCCTATATGGAAACTTTTTGCACATCATTTTTTTGCGGCTGTTGGATTTGGATGATTATTCCCATGGCTCATCCTGTCAGAGCAGAACTGTATGAGTACCTCGGAGATTTGGCTGGGCTTTCTCCAAAACACAACTTCCCTGCATTGGAGCAAGCAGGGAATCCATGCAAGCATTGCAGAGGGGTCTCAGAGCCCTTTTCCTGAAAAATCCTTTATAAGAACCTGGAATTTATTGAATACAGCCTCTTCCTGCCCCTGGTACCTGAGTACATCCCCACCCAGTATGCTGCATCCCCATTCATAGTTTCATAGGGAGTTGGAATGGACCTTAGAGATCATCTAGCCCCAGCCCCCTGCCGTGGGCAGGGACACCTCCCACCAGAGCAGGTTGCTCAAGGCTTTAGCCAACCTGGCTGTGAACACTGCCAGGGTTGGGGCAGCCACAGCCTCCCTGGGCAACCTCTGCCAGTGTCTCACCACCCTCACAGCAAAAATCTTACTAATATCTAATCTAAATTTCCTCTCTTTCAGTTTATACCCATTACCCCTTGTCCTGTCACTCCAGTTCCTAATAAACTAACTTGGGAACAAACATTCCCAAGGCTTGTCCAGGTGAATCCCACAATGGTCCATGTGGGCTCAGAGCATCCATGATGTGAGGGATGCTGCTGGCTCTGCCCCTTTTGGCCAACCTGGGGCTGGACCTTCCCATCCCAGCAGAGGATTTTAGGGCTAAATTATCCAAGTAGCTCTTGCAGAGCGAGATTGAGAAGGGGCTTAATTGCAGCTCAGCAAGAGGGTAGTCCATGGGGCTGTCGTGCCAGGGAGCAGGATCAGACCCTGGCAGAGGCACAGGCAGGCAGGGGC